TTGCCTATGATAGATTCTGTAAGTCTCATATATAGTCCTGCACTGAGTTTATTATACCCTGGGAATCTGAGAGGAATATTTCAGGGAGCATTTCCTTTCTACTTCTTCGTTAGTCATGCAATACTATGTAATATTAAGGGCCATAACTTCTATTAATTACGGCTAATTGCAATATGAGCTCTGTTAAAAATGGTTAGCTTTATAAATCCCAAAAGTTCATACACTGATGTCCTCATGGCTGAATGAACAAAAACGTTGGTTGAATTCAAAGTGTTGTGAGTTCAATCCCTGGTTACAGCTGAGGTAAACTAAAATTTGGAGAGTTGAGTTAAAGGGAGATAACTGACAGTGAGACACACGGAAGAGACATACGTAAGAACAATCTCCCCCCGTTGGACGAAATAAAGGGTTCGGTTCGAAATTCCAATCGCCTGAAGAAGGCTGGAGCGTACAACGGCCGAAACGTGAATGTGACAATGAAGGTGAGGATAACAGTCCGAATAATGTAAGTGACCCTCAATCTGTTGTTAACTGGGGAAAGAAGTGGTTTCTTAATTTTAAAGCTCCCAAAACGTACGTGCTCTATATTAATTATTTTAAGCCGTTTTTACCTTCCATCATTATAACTGTTACTAAATTCCATGTGAGTCACTCATTGCATCTCAACAGTTTAACTTTTTCAATGAGATTTTTCAGAAGAGTGATTACATGGAATTATATGGAATGATTATATGGAATGATTATATTGTGGCACCATGCATCCAGGCAGAGAAAGAAAGGCAAAAAGGGAAAAGGAAAGAAAAGAAGAAAGGAAGGGAAAAAGTAATGCGAGACGGATCATAGGTGATAAGCGAACACACACACACGGCTTAAGAGGCAATAAAAAAAAGGGGGTTATTTTGGATAAGTGGCAAATGGCGGAAGAGTCTCATTACAATGACAATGAGATTGAGTGGGTAGGGAAGTGTTATCTAAGGGTATGAAAACAAACTATTGGTACGAGAAGGCATCTTATTATCAAAACACAGGCCACCGGCCAAGGGAAAAATTCCAGCGAAAATGTTATTTCGATAAGTGACGACAAGAAACAGGCGACTAAAAAAAGACTTTGGACAGATATGAAAATTAAAGGCCATCTGCGAGCAATCATTGACCGATTTTCCTACTTGGCCTGCGCGAATGGAATTGTGTTATCAAGAAATGTTCGCCAAAGAAAGTCCACTTGAAAACGTTAGATTTTGATAATTGACAAAACACAGGTGTAGGTACGGAGCCTTAGCTAGATATGGAAAATTAAAATCCCACACAGGCAGTCTCGCTAATTAAACTCTTTTCGACAAAACAAACTTTTGCCCTGCGATAATAAAATTTTGTTATCAGACACATGAACCGAAGGAAAATGAATGGAATAAGAAATGATTTTTTTCTTCCTTGGAGACGTCAGACCGACTGAAAACTTGGAGAAAATTCTTTTCTGAGGCTATGTCATCTGATGAATTAGCGATAAACTGCTTGACAAACGCCACGTGTTGAACAAAGAGTTGTCATATTATCCGTTCATGATAACGGCGATTTGAAAGGAAGAAAAAAAGGAAAGCGAAGGGATAATTAATTTTTTAGTTAAGCAAGGTTGTTCACGCCCGACTAAGACGTCATTGGTCAAGTGGTGATCACATGACGCACGAAGGAGGAGGAAAGATACCCGACCAGAGTATAAGTATGAGAAGCCGCTACGAAGAAGTGGGGAGGGCAGTTCACGCCCCTCAGAAGCATGGTGAGAAAGTGGGAGTGAAAAAAAAGTTACCAAAAATGGAAAAGAGTGGAAAATCCCTAACCAGAAATAAAAGAGGTGGATATGTATTTAGAATTATCGAGGAACTCCCAGACGCCAACAGACCCAACCCGGTTTTTGTCAGCGTTAATAAAAGCCAGGCCCCAACAGGCAGAAATCAGTTAGTTCGCGCCCTGACGGCAGAGATGAGTGCCCAGTAGTTCAGGCCCTGACGGCAGAGATGAGTGTCCAGTAGTTCGAGCCCTGAAGGCTGAGATGAGTGTCCAGAAAGTTCGTTCGGCCCTGGCAGCAGAGATGATAGACCAAGATAGCTGACCAAGATTCACGCAAAATTTCGGACTCCTCTTCAACCAAGAACAATTATTTTGAAGAGCGACTTAGAACCAGACCACCGAAATAAGTTTTTCGACTTTCGTCCGAAGACACACCGAAACACAAATTTCTTAGAGAGCAAACAACTTGAAGCGTTAAAACTTGCCTAGCGAAAGCGACGTGTCACAATCCACAGAACGGGTCAGGAGATAGATGCAGTCCTATGTATCGAACAACTAGACATAAAGTTTGTTACCTTTTTCTTTGATACTTTGAACTTTTTGAGTTTTCATTTTATGCATATTTGTGTGTTATCACCCCCGTTGAACTCAATTTGTCTGTCTAAGATCAATTCACAACGTGGGTAGGCAGACTGGAGATCAGTGCAGTTACCTTGGTAACCAGGCGTTGGAAGCGAGTTGGGAACGGCGAGGCTGATATCAAATCTAACCAGATTCCCACCCGAATCACCAAAAGGTTAGAACGTCACATTTGGGTGCCGCGACCGATACCAAGCCAGTTGGTCGTCACAGTACGAGACAATACGACTGACGCGACAGGCGAACGTCACGTTTGGAGCAGCGACACCCGGACGGAGCAGCGAGGAGCGCACAGCTGGCGCCGCGGCGAAGACGTCACAATTGGTGCTGTTTAGGGACGTTACAACTAGTGTCGTGACCGGGATAGGACCCTGGAACGGCCACGTCACAACTGGCGCCGTGGTAGATCAGGATAGAATGTCACAGTTGGCGCTGCGACCGAGGGACGACGTCACAATATGGAATGAGTACATGGAATTATATGAAATGATTAAATGGAATGATTATATGAAATGATTAAATGGAATGATTACATGGAATGATTATATGGAATGATTACATGGAATTATATGGCATGATTACATGGAAGGATATGGAATGATTACATGGAATGATTACATATAAATTATATTGAATGATTATATGGAATGATTGTATGGAATGATTACATGGAATGATTATATGGAATGATTACATGGAATGATTACATGGAATCAATTGCCAAGACTGCTATTACTTCACTTCTAGCTTCTGGATTTCATGCCAAACTACAATCATCAATCGTCATCTTTTTCTTTGAATCCCGTTTTTTTACTGTCATCTCTGTTCATTTCACCCTCAAAACCTCATGCATTCTAGTAGCTTTTATTGCCTTGCTTGGAGTGAAATCATTAAAAAATAGACAACACTTTGCGATTGCCTAATCCCGGACAATTCTTATCAATCGCTGCCTTTATTCAATTTAAATGGTATAGTATTATTCTGAATTCAACAACTCATTTAAAAAAGGAACTTGTAATGCACAATGCCCTTCCAGCCCTACTAAATCTCTGGATGCAGGACGTCTTTTGGAGTAGTAAACGTTGGCTCCTTTCGTTTTCCCCAGTACCTTATTTGTTCTGCGTTGTTGTAAATAATCCAATTTTCATCGTCTCTTGATTGGCCGTTTTTGTCGAGTTTGAGCAGAGAATCGAAGATGGAAATGCCGTCCATTAAAGTTATTTTTTTCGTCAATTCATGAGGCCCTCAACCATAGTAAGGATTTACGTATGCAAGTCTCTTCAAATACCCTATAACTCTTATGTAGAATATTACTGCGATGTCCCGTGTCGGGCAACCTGTATCATTTTTAATCAGCCTTTCTACTTGGTTTTCATCAATGATTGCTTACCACCTTGGTCTTCCAGATCAATTTTTTTTTTATTATTTCTGAACATAGCACACCATACACAAACAGTGCTCTCAGCTACGGCACCGTCTCCACAAACGGCACATTTTTGTTGTTTATATAGCGTTTTCTTTTTCTCTATTTTCACTTTTAACGTAAAGAAATTTAAAATTTACAATCCCCACAGGAATCGTATAGAAAGACGCTTTGAAATTTCACTTTTTATAATATTTATATATTTAATAAATTTCGGACAGGTTTGAAATTAAATTACCTGTTCAAACGTTTACCTGTTCAAAAGTACTGCTAGCCATATTTGCCGCCAATTAAGATACTTCAGCGTGGAAGATGCAATGCATTTACAATTTGCAAAGTTTACAGGGGATATAGATAAACACAGCACTTTTACCTGCCTTATCGTTGTTATTTCAGACAGTAACTCTCTCATGTAGGGGTTTTTTTCTCTCCCTTTGCTGAAAATAACCTCTTATTCTTGCTGCGTGAGGAAAAACAAAGATAAGGTTTATCTCCATAGGTCAAGAGGCATTGGTTATTTTTGCAAACAAGAAAAAATCAGCGATGCTGAAAGCACAAGAGTTTTAGCGTCGAATTGATAGCTTTTTTTTTTTTTTTTTTTTTTTTATATATATCTACAGCTAATGTGCTTAATTTTAAAGTACGGAAGCACAAAAAGAATATTTCTTTTTTAATAGAAACTTAATTCATAGTGTGAGTTTTGGATTTTTATTTTTAGTCACAGCAGTTAATGATGAAGAAACAAAATATTTCAGCCTTTCTCCCGAACAGTCAATCTTGTTTATTATTTTAATTGGGTTCCAGATCTGTCGTCAGATCTTTTTCAGTTTAAGCTCGAAAATGAAGTTAATGTTGGTAAAAGTTTGAAACAAGAGACGTTAGCAATATAAAACATAACAATTTGGGTTTTTTTCATTTATCTCCACAAGACTAAAATTTTCACATTATTTTTTTTAAAAATTAAGCTTTATACCAAAATATGCTATTAATTTTATATCTTTAATTATTTATTTGTCTTGCTTTACGGCTCTACGGACAACACGGACACTGACGAAACACCAAGAAGTATCATTTGACGGAATATACACAAGGATGTTACGAGTTGCATTGGACATCAGATGAAAGAAACACCCAACAATAAAACACCTTCCTCCTATCTCAGTTTTGCTAAGAGAGAGAGAGAGAGAGAGAGAGAGAGAGAGAGAGAGAGAGAGAGAGAGCGCGCTTCGGCTAGCTGGTCACTCCTGGAGCAGTAAGTCAGAATTTGTGAGTAACACTCTCCTATGGAACCCATTGCGCAGCAAAAGATCGCTTGGGAGACTTCATCACACCTACATTGACCAACTTGTAGATGACTCTGGATGACATCTGGAGAACCTGCCGACAGCGGTGTCTGACAGAGATGATTGGAAGGAACATGATGACATGATGATGATGATGATGCATTTAATGTTGGATTTTCGACACTTTCACAGTCTACTTCCTATTCCAACTCTTTTGCGATCCTCTTTTTTCTTCATATTCTGTATTCTTTTCGATCATGGTTCTCCACTACTTCTTATCATGTGTAGCGCTGAGCTGTGTTTGTCACTTTAATATCCTTTCCAATCCTGAATCACCTCGTGAGGTACTTTCCTTACCGTTTGTTCTCTCTAATCTTTCTTGCCTTCAATATGTCCTTTGAATTCTCCAAGCTCTCTTTCCTCATGGAGTGTCGCAGGAATTTCAACTGTCCCTTTCTGATTCCAAGTAGAAGTATACAGTTTTTTTAAAAAAAAAAAAAAACATTTTCCTTCAAACTTCCCTGTTAGTCACATGCTCCGACCATTATATTCTCCATATCATTATGTTGCCGCATGCATCCTCCCTCTTAATTTGTGAAGAGATTGTCCAGTATTCACTGGCATATAGGAAGACTGGCACTACATAACAGTTGAGCAATCTCGTCTTTGTCTGAACTTCTGGGATGTGAAGTTATTATTTACACTATTTATCTTCGTACTATTGGCCTTATATCGCTATACCGCTGAGGGTCGCTCCTGGTCGCGATGGAGAGGCTAACGTAGTCTGATGCCATCGAGAGTTCTTATCTGCTGACAGGGCATCACTTGGTGGCAAGGTCAAAGACGAGGACCCAAACTAAGCGCGACCAACCCCCAAAACTCCAAGGGTGGAACAAGCGGATGACGATTACAACAGATCTCAACGATTGACTCAGCGGATGACGAGGACTACGCATGACGGACATGTTACAGAAGGCGACACTTGAAATTATAACAGAGTTAGTCGCAGATTAAATAAAGAGTTCAGTTAAGAATTCCCTGTAGGTTACCCAGATCGATATACACCCGAGGAAGGCCGGGGTGAACAACTGCCGAAACGTTTTGATAACAGCAAAGATGAGGTCTATAGTCGGAATATAAATAGTGAAAATAATCTTGTCTTTGTTTATAACGAATTTTTCCTGTATTGTAATACTTTGCTTTGTTTTTGAAAGGCATCTTTCGCTCTAAAATAGCTTTCGGATTACTGTGTCATACGTTTCATCAACTATTAAAATAATTCCCAGATAAATTCGTAGTTAAATTTCTGAATTGCTTCATTTTGATGCCTCCATATTGTAGCTCACATTTCTTGACAATTGATGCTTAGTCCTTTCTTCACGCTTTCTTTTACTTCTTTATGGTTTTAATTTACTTTACCTTACGAGTAAAATAATAACGTAAGTTGTTAACTTCTGACGTCAAAGATCCTAAAGCAATGAAAAGATAAAATTGTGCGCGTACTGGTCGTGTTAAGGAAATAAGCTTTCAATGATTTATTGTTCAATTATTATTTTCGCTTCATTTATGCCTATTTCGAAAAGAGTAACCAGGTTGTTTTGAAAAGAGAAAAATATCCTTGATTTGCTGACCCCAGACCGATAAACTTGCTAATAGTTTCATCTGATTCATTACAGGAAACAAAGAACCGTTACACTTTCAACCTATTACGGCTTTGCTATAGAAGTATGTAATTTCACGTTCATATCATACAATTTAAGATAGGTTGCTTGGAAAATGTGCTACAGTCAAGGATAATGTAAAAAGGTAATGTGCTACATTACAAAACGCTAAACAAAAAACATTGTTCGCTTCTCTCCTAGGCTTCTCGATGATAAGTTCCGTTGAAATGTGTGTGCGTTTTTTTTAATCATTTCACCCCAAGCAAAGCTATAATTTCAATAAAACGGACGGGTTTATTGAGAACGAAAACAAAAAGTTAGTGAAGAGAAAAGACAATAAAAGAACAGGTTTTAGGAGGACAGGTGATTTATGTTGCATTTAAATTTCTGAAGATCGAAGGTGACAGGGAAACAAAAATCCGGAAGAGAGTTCCAAAAGTAACAAATACGAGAAAAGGAACTATTAGAATAGAATTTACGGTCATATTTAGCTATTTCAACAGTAAAAACCCTCCAATATGGTAAGCTACGTCATGGCGGTGGGAAAGTTACTGAAGTCGAGATTCCAAGTCAAGACTAACAATTTATTATCTTGCAGCATAGAGCAAAGAGAATAGAACAATTTCTTTTTGAAATACGAAAGGTGCATTTATGTATTAAACGTCTTGAAAAGTATTTACGTTTTTCATCGTTATGGAATATGAGTCAACTAACGCTGAAGAAAGAAGGTTGAATAGTAGGAAACTGTATCTAAAATTCGTTTATCATCTGTTCTATCCGAAAGTATGTCAATTATAGTACATTTCAGAGTTTATTTGGAAAAGATTGCAAAGACGAAATTTTTAGTTCCTCATGAACATTTGCTTGACAACCGAATACAACATTTTACAATCTGCAGCAATCTTTTAATCAGTAGAACCAGCCTTTAAGTTTTGCCTCACATTGCTACAGGTGATGAAAAATGAGTTTTGCATTGTAACAGAAAATGAAAATGAGAGTAGCTATCACAAACTGAGAAACCAGTGCCAACACCAAAACTAAGCCTATACAGAACTCTTTGCTTTGTTTTGGTCGAATATAAAAAGGTATTGTCTACTACGAGCCACTGGAACATGGAAGGACCGACATTATAGAAATTTATTACCAGCAACTTGATCAGGTAAACAAAACATTACTATCGAAAGTGTCCTGCTTTTGTAAAGAGAAACAGTTTTATTCTCTTGCATGATAATGCCAGAGAATTATCTGTAAAACCAACTCCAAGAATAATTAACATCGTTAGGATCGGAGGTTTTTCTATATCCGCAGGAATCATGAAATTTTCATCTATTTCTAAAACTATAACATTTTATAAGTGGCAGAATATTAAAAAGCAATTAAATTCAATAACTGTTTCAAACATTTTTTGGGTAAAAAAAAAAACTCAAATTAAACATGGAAACGAAAATTAGCCATTCCATTTGACTGAAGTCGTTGAAAATGGAGCTGATTACACGATGGAGTAAAATGGATTGCAGCTTGTATTGAGGAATAGGACAGTCGAGTTTGATTGTTTTTTTTTAATTTTATCTTTTCAGCCGAATCAAGTACAAAAGGGGTTGCAGAGAGTGAAAGTAAGAGAAAAGACTGGGTATAGGGGAGGTGGGGACTGAGAAAAGGATAAGAGCTGAACGGGATTCAAGACGAACAAAGATGGCGATTGGCGTTGCATTTAATTTTTTTAAGATTTGTGTTATCAGGGAAGCAAATAAACGGAAGGGAGTTCCACTGTCGGGAAGTGCGAGAAAAGAAACTGTTGGAGTAGAAGTGGCAGTTACATTTATCTATTTCAATAGTAAAAGGGTGGGACCTAGATGCCAATCTAATAACAGGCTTAAATTCATATTGGGGCACCAGAAAAAAAAATCTAGTCAAAGCAGTTGCCATGAAAATATTTGTAGAAAAAACTGAGGGAAGCCACATCACGTCTGTGAGAAAATGACTGAAGTCGAGATGCAAAATCAGGGTTATCGCAGATCTTTCTTTGGATTTTGTCAAGAACCTCGAGATGAAGAGTAGGAGCATCAAACCAAATATGGTAACAGTATTCAATGTACGAACGATTTGTAAATGTGAAAGATGGAAAAGCCTTCTGGTACGACACAATGAACCAACTTCCCTTGCAGTCGATGATGCTATTAATTCAATGTAGTTGTTCCACTTCAAGACAAGTTGAAAACGTGAGGCCAAGAAGGAGCAGTCTGACATTCTTCAGGGGTCGAGCATCACTCATGCTAATGGCAGGCAGGGAAGTTTCTCTATGGTGGTTAAAATGATGGCAATTTTGTTTTGGAGGTATTAAAATTTACAAGTGAATTCTAGTCGAATTCCTTGCATTCACTAACATCCTTGTGAAAGGTATGAATCCATCTCTTTTACTTCCAGCGATGGGTGAATACCAGGACAGACTGGATTCTATAGCTTTGGGTGGCAACAGGTCTAGAAGAAAGTAGCCTCCGCCAGGCTATCCTGCACAAGACACACCACTTCAGTACATGTGGTTCCCCTTAGACCCTAATGGGTTGCGTGACTCGTGATCGTGAATTTGAATAAATATTGATAATTCATATTTGAATAAATTTAACCTACATTTAATTCGTGCTCTTTCTCTCAGAACGTATTTATTCCCTAAACCCCGACAAATGACAAAAAATATACATTATTTACATAATTCAGACTGTTGTCCTCATCTTGATTGCCATCTCTACGATGTTTCGGCCTTCTTCGGGACACATGTCCAAGTGGATTGTTTTAATTTAAAAATGTTACTGAATGAGGAATAACCCAGACGGAGGTTGGAAATGAAATGGTAATCTTTATAAAATCAACAAAATACAATACTCGCCAGCGGCGTAAAATAGGTAAACCACTGCTTGTTCTGGACTACTTAGACAGAATATTTATATTTATTGTATGAAATATACAATTTTGGCACAAGGTCTACTTACACAGCATATTACCCTCACTTACAATAATGTCCAACGTATTTATGAGAATTGGGACATATCCATTCGTGTTAATAGGTACGGTATATAACATGGATATAAGCGTTGGTTGGATCCAGTGAACAAAAACATGGAGAATTGAGTTAAAGGGAGATAACTGAGACATCCAGTTGAGGTATGGCAGGTGGAACTAGAACAATCTACCCCGGTGGACAAAATAAAGGGTTCAGTTCGAAATTTTAATCACTGGTCGAAACATCATGAATATTGCAATAAAGATGTGGACAACAGTCCGGAGAATGTAAATCATGCAAATAATTGCAATACCTCAGTTCATAAATATAGACAGATATTGAAAAATATACAGTAAGCAATAACATGAACAATGTAGGTTCTATCAGACAGAAAGTTATAATGATGAAATTGAATGATAATTGAAATATTCCAGGTCACACGACACGGGCCATCGCAGATATACTCTGCTTATCTCATAGGTGTGTTGTAAGGCATTTGAACACATACACGAATTGCTGCGATGTTTGGTTGCTTAACTATTTAATGGAAAATAAAGATTTAATTGGTTGCATTTCCAGCAATAAGAAGCGTCTGAATTTGGTCAATCGGAATGTGTTGTTTTCCAATAGGACAACTGGATAACGTCAGAGCTCACATCTCTTTGCCGACATATAAAAATATGTTTATGCGATATTTATTTGTAAAAGGTTGATAAGCTATAAAAATCAAATTAATTCAGATTACCACGTATTTCGATCTCTACAAAATCACTTAATGGTAAGAACTTCAATTCTCTTGAATCCTGTAGCAACCACACGGACCAGTTCATCATCTGAACAGATACTAAATTTGGGGAGGATGGAATCATGATGCTGGCCTTAAAGATGGTGAAAGCTAGTGAAGCAAAATGGCACGTCTGTGGTTGAATAAATCTATGTACAAATAACTAAATACAGGGGTTGGACAAAATAATTGGAACACTTGTTAAATTCAAAGAAAATTTATTTGATATGGAGTTGCTCTTCCTTTAGGCTCACAGACAGCTTTAATACATTTAAGAATGGAATCATACAGCTTCCTGACTTCATCCAGAGGAATTTTCAGTCATTCTTCCATTAAAACCTTCTCCAGCTCTTTACGACACGACGGTAATCAGGTAATCTTTGCTGCTGATTCTACCATGCAGGGCAACTATTGGACTGAGACATTTCCATGATATGACGGTCCAAACTGTCACTGATCCACCTCCATGCTTCACTGTTGGAAGAAAGCAGTCAGGGTTGTAAGCTTCTTTGGGCTTCCTCCACATATAATCTCGCTCTGGAGTTAGGAAAAGAGAAAAACTGGACTTGTTTGAGAATATGACTTGCTTCCGTTGGCTTGCAGACTAAGCATTGTGATCTCTGCACCACTTCAACCTCTTTTGAATGTTGCGTAGTGGAGAGAAGAGGTTTCCTCACTGCGGCTCTTCCATGATATGCAGCCTTATGGATCTCACGGTGAACAGTTTTAGTAGAAACTGAACTATTCAGATGGTTATTCAACTCAGCAGTCACTTTGGCAGCATTTGTCCGATGATTTTTTGCCACATTGCGTTTCATCGCACGTCAGTCCCTGTCAGTAAGTTTGCAAGTCCGACCGGAATTGTTACGGTTGCTAGAAGTCTTGCCGTGTTTCTCAAATTGCATCAGTGTTCTTGATATGGTAGCTCTTGAAAAACCAAACAGTTCAGTAACCTTAGTGATCGAGGCTCCTGCCATGCGAGCTCCAACAATTTGCTCTTTTTTGAACTCGGAGAGGTCACGCATTTAGCTTAAATTTTACTAAAAATAAAATTAATAAGACAAAGACATTAATTTAGATAAATAAACGTATTTACAATAGATATAACCTGCAATTACGAAGTTTTAGTTAAGTTCTTAATATAATAGGTCTTTGTAATATAGGAGTGGATTTTGCAACTGTTCCAATTATTTTGTCCAACCCCCTGTATCATCCTTGAAATTCACTTAAAAAACGCAAAAATCAGAATCACGTGTTTGATTACCTTTCAGGATCGAACGTGTCGGGATCTGGCCAGTATTGTGGGTTACTATGGACACATGTAACTGGGATTGAGATGTTCATGCCTGCAGGTATTTTGACTCCTTTTATAATGCAATCGTTTCTGGCTTCTCGATTAATCCTACAAAAATGTCATAAAAAATTATGTAGACATCGTCAGTTTAGGCATATAAAGCAAATACGATATTGGGGTGCTGTTAATTATCCTCACCCCACTCTAGCAGGAATACTATACGAGAAACATCTACGAGACCTGTATTGATTTGAGAAATTGAAGGAGTTAATGTATGTTATTTCTTTGATTTATGAGTATAGGCACACACACACACACGTATATATATATATATATATATATATATATATATATATATATATATATATATATATATATAGTGAGTATTTGGGCAGGAATCTCTGTTTTATACATGTTTCTTGAAAGACGACTGATAAGGTATTACGATTAAGATTTTTTATTTAATTTTTCTTGTGTTCGTTTTTCAAAATTTAGTTTTCACTGAGACTATGAAATGTCTTGTCCACAGAATTAATCTAGGAATTTAACTATATTGACGACATGGAAAAAATCCCTTACTACAAAGGTAATTTAAATTAACCAGATAAAAAAGCTTAGACAGAAGAGTCTATCTTTTTAAATTTTGATTTTTTAATGTAACTATAACAACAAAAGCATTTCGATTTAATTTTTGCCTTGAAAAAGTCGGAAGACGTAACGCGTCAGCAAAATCTAAGATTTTTTTCTAATTGTCATTTTATACCAATCTGTCTTGTCTACAGAACTGATCTGGGTATTTATCTATACCTATATCTATATCTATCTATCTATCTATCTATCTATCTATCTATATATATATATATATATATATATATATATATGAACAGCGGCTCCTACAGCTATTAATGCATTACTCTTCAAGTACAAATTGAGTTCTCCGGGCCACTGGCGTATTTCATATAGAATAACTTTAAATTTTCTGTTCCTCTCTTATATCCAAGTGTAAGGTAGGTTAGTATCAATGTCCACACATTTTTAAAAGGTGATCAATACAGAGTAGAGTTTAATAATAATAATAATAATTTATAATGTTAAAATATAGTTTTAAGGTATGTTACATTTATGTGTAAACGTGTTCAATGTCAGAGATAGAGAATATTTAAATATAAAAGTAGGCACTGAGGTCAACACCAAGAGGCAACAATCTGTTTCACGCTTCAACGCAATCTTTAGGCCATGTATGCATTCGCATTCGTAGTTTGTTAATTATTCAAACTACGGATGCACATATAAATAATAATAATAATAATAATAATAATTAACAACAAATATTTAAGTGATAATTAATGAGTAAAAGTTAACTAATAATCGCATTCAGATCTACAATTATTTCTACACTATAGCCTCAAGAATAAACATTACCGGGCAGCCAATAGTTGTCAACATAATACAACAGATCTTCTACCTATAATGCACCAGCATATATAAACAGTGGAACTAAAACGCAATACACATGGCCTTAAGTTTGCGATCAAGCATGAAACAGACTGTCGCCATTTGTTGCTGATATATTTATATTAATAATAAATGTCTAACTGATAATATCATATATAAAGCAACCGCAAATAACAATAACACGGAAGAAAAATTATATAGAAGCAACTAAAACATCTTTTAAAGAAAGCTTTAATAATCATAAAATTTTATCTAAAATAGACATAAACAACTAACACAACTGTTTTTAATATTGAGCACTATATGAAAATATTTGCTTTACTTTTAAATCTTAAATTTTCCATAAGCTCCGGCAATAAAACAATTTCAAGTCGAGCCCTTTTGCAGACTAATGATTATATCAATTCTTTGTTATTATATTACTAAAAAATATAGAACCTATACAATTGAATTATTCATTAAAATATTCCTACATGAAATGTAAACGCATATAAAATCAAATTTACTGCAAAATAGAACAATTCTGTTATGTACCGTACCTATGAACACTAATGGTTATGTAGAGGACCGTGTTGTTGAATTAATAACACGTGCTGTTTATTCCTGCTAGAACAAGACTCAACTACAAGAACATGGCGGACTCAAGTTGAGTCCAACCGAAGAGGTAAAGAAAACAAACAAGACCGATATATATATATATCAATAAATATATGTATTAAACAACAAATTTACAAGTGACAACGACATCAACATTTGTGTTTGTGTGTGAACGTAAAGAGTTTGTATGTTGGTGAATGTTCGTACATACGTGTATGTGTGTTTCATGGCGTTTTCCCACAAGTGGGTGAAAACGTGGATCTCTGCGGGAGATCACATTTTTTAATGTGTCCGCTGAAATGAAAAGTAGAAAAGAGAACGAGGCAAGAAGTCGACCAGTATTTATAGTGTAGGGAGAGCGTGCCCTAGTGACAATTAGAAAATTAAGGAGGAGCTAACTCCGACAGTTGTGTACCAATCCTCATAAATACGTTGGACACTAAGTGTGCGTATGCGCGTGTGTGTGTGTGTGGGGGGGGGTAATATGCTGTCTAAGTAGTCCCCCACTAGCAGTGGTTTACCTAATTTACGCCGCCGCTATTTTGTTGTTGTTATAAAGATTATTATTTTATTTCCAACCTCCGTTTTGATTATTCCTCATTCAGTAACCCTTTTTCTAGGTTACAACAATTTCATAAACAGGTTAAGATGAGAAATATTTTCTTTCCTAACAATGATAGCAATAATATTAATAGCAACAACAATAAACTCGGGTTTTTCGTCAATGAAATGTTCACTACAACAAAAAGATCTTATTGATTTCGAAAGTGAGTTAATAAATATTGTAAATAAAATCAAAACAAGAAAAAAAAACAACAGTAAATTTAAAATAAAATTAACTAATAACATAAAGCCAATAAATAAATGAAATAAACTATTTATTCAAATACACAGATCAAGAACTATATCAAAGATGGAAACTATCAAATATAGGAAAACTAATCGAAAAAGAGGAGAATAAGTTTTACAAAACCACAGAAAATGAATAAAAAATAATATAACTAAAGAAGCAAAAACCATAGCAACAACATTAAGATTTGATAACAGAATTAAACAATTAATGAAAGTAGAACTATTTATTAAATTAAAAAATCATAAGGATAATTTTCTAAACAAAGCTATATGTAGATTAATAAATCCCACAAAAATATAGGAAAAATAAGTAAACAAACAGAAAGAATGTTTGAAATTAAGAAAAATATTAAATATAAATCAATGGAAAATACAAAAGAAACTATTACCGTAATTCCCCATATATAATACGCCTTCATCCATAACACGCACACCTAAAATCGTGCTGAAAGTGTGTGTAAATGCTTTTACTAATGCATAATACGCACCCCTTATTTGATAATTGTTATATTCCGTGCTAATAGGAATATATACTTGAAAAACAAGGTGAATAAAATAAGTAAAGGTTTATTGTAAAACCAGTACAATAAGAATAAAGGTAACAGTTATGCACAAGGTCGTTGCAAGTCAATCCAGTCGTGAGTGCTACTATTGGAAGGTCGGTAGATCTCGCGTAAGTCTGAGTTGTACTCAACAGATCCCAGCTAGTGTATTTACTAACCTCCCCACGCAACATAATTAATCATTGTATAAAATCATTATTATGACAATAAATTATAGCTAAAAAAGAATAAGAATTTCAGGATCTCTTTGCAATCTTCGGTTTCATCCTTCAGTTCCTCAAACCGATATAAATGTCTCAAACTAAATATTCCTGTGGATGACTTCACTACATTTATTTAACTTAGATTACGAAACCAAACGGACGTGAAGAAAAAGAGGATAAACCAAAGACATCATTACACATAAAATTTGTATTTAATAAGATGTACAAACAAGGATGTGAAAGAAAATCATGCATTGAATAAAACAAGAGTTGTCTCTCTTTAACTATTAATTGTTCCAAAGTTCACTGAAAGAAATAAGGTTGTAATAGTTTCTGGTAATAAATGTTTTCAACAGTTTTGCTGTGTAAGAAAAAATATTATGTGAGTATAGGGAATATTCAGCCTGTGAGTGGTGGTGTGAGTGAGAAGATTGGCGCATGGTTTCAACTGTCGTGGATTCCTGTGGCAGCTGAAATCTCACTAATGTACTAAGAATTGTCTTTGCTTATATCGGTGATCATCGGCTACGAAAGCGCTGCGCGGGAAGAATCACTCTTCACGTGCAGACAATCTGATTGGTTGGCATTGACCAATCAACGAGCGAGCTTTGGGGAGACTCACCAAAAGCTTTTAGGATCCGATTCTCCCAAAAGTGCACGAAATCGACTACATGAAAATATAGCGATTATAAAATTGTCTCATTACACAGTAGTGTTGATTTATTATCCAATGAATGCTTGTTTGAATTTGTGTAAGTATGTTATGTATGTGTGTGATGATGATCATCATCACATTCCCATAGGATTTGTAAATTCAACTGCGTAGTTAATTGTATACAAAGAAACGTCTGTAGCCATTGGCTTTATTCTGATTACTTTCCTTCTTTGTTTGTTGTTTCACTCCGGTGATGTCGGTTTTGTTCTTGTTTAATAAAATTCCTTTCTGATGACACCGGATCACCTTTGAAAGTTGTCGTATCTATTTCTCATTTCCATACAACTTCAAGTTACAAGGAAAAAACCTGTCTTAATCTGACATACTGTCACAAGGGCGGATTCTCTACGACATGGCTGATGCAAGTTTATGGGTGATGACAGCGATAAACCAAGAGAAATCCACTAAACTGCGATAAGATAAACTTATTTAGCTAATCACTGAATTGATTTTGATAGTAACTGACATAGGAGAATAAATTCACACGTTCTGAAAAGCGGCTCTGTTTATTGTCTCACCTCTCGGTGATGTGAAGCAGAATACAATTTTGATATCTTACGCAATAAATACACTTTTTATTATATTAAATTTCCTCCATTGTAAGACACGAGTATCATTTCAGGTATAGGGTTATAGTCGAAATGATAATGCTGAATGACGTATATGACATGAATGGAAGAGAAGTGGGTAAGGAAGGGGTGACGGTCTAATACACGTTTGGAGAGCCACTCAATCTAGAAGGTTGCAGTGAAAACGGTAATGTTGAATCAGGTTTGGGACATGAGAGAAAGAGAAGATCGATTAATTGATGAGTTCGTTTTCTACAGCTTATCAACTCCTTGTAGATTATTTAAAGCCATATAATATTTTTAGATTATACGAATTATTTTTGGAAATAATAATGAATCAGTGATACAAGCATTAATAATTAACCCATAGCTGGAGGGAATAGGTGGATTCATACGTTTCACAAGTTTATTTGCGCATAAGTGGATATAACTCTCTCGTGGAGTTGGACATCAGCCATGGTGGTACGAGATAGGGAGGGTTGTCTATGGCGGGTATGGCAGAAATACCTTACATTTGATTTAATCTCTTATAAAGATAAGGCATGACAGAAGGGATCAAGTACTCCCTGGAGCAATAAAATGAGCCGACCATTTTTCCAGCTTCGTTAATAATAGTTTATCTACAATAGTGACCCACTTCGCAATGACCCAGTTAGCAAAAAATAAATTCAATTTGCTTATTTTTTTAGTTTTATATACTTATAAAAGTATATTTAATTATTTTGCTTATGAAGCCTACGATGGACGATTCAGTGGCATTTGAAAAGGTTGGATCACACTGGGATGGATGATAGAATGAAACATCAAGAACTTACAACGTGGCCACAGGATATTTTCTTAATGTCTCTGATAAACACATATCCAAATATGTCAACTTTTGGATGTTGTCGTAATCTGGAGAATCCTGTTAGAACAAAGAGGAAAAGAATGTTTAGGTTTCCTGTCAAAGTTGTCAATTGCGATGCTAGTTGTTGTTTCTGCCTGAGTAGGACAAGTTTTTTTTTTAACAAGAACTCACTCACTCATTTAATCAATCATCGAATCAATCAATGACTCAGTCAATCAATTTCCTCCCGCCCAACTTTTTGGTAGTACTAATAACAAAATATTGTGCGTAAATAATTGGAAAGAAACCAGTGTAGAGACATCAAATAAACGTGGTTATATTATTTACATCCGCCAGTAAATGTCTTATCTCTTGCCTAACTTAGTAATACTTGCGTAATGCTGATAACTAATTTGCATATTCAGACTTAAAAATCAAACTTTGAAATAATTCTGGTCTTTTGTGATTTTTCTAAATAGGTGAATGTTTTGTTGATGGCTTTTATAATTACTTTATTATTCAAATAAACCAATTATTCTGCTCTAAAAGTGGTAACGACATTAACAGTTCGGGGTGTCAGAGAACGTAAGCAATGGATAAAGACAAGTAAGCTATGGTGACATTTTAATAATTTTGAAAATCCTTTGAATAGGATTAGAGGTTTATCCCTTATTTACTATTTAGAATTAGGTTTCTGGTTCCTTCAGAAGTCCACTTCGACATTATGCTCTTAATGTCTCCGTTGAACCCTGAAATTTTATTTACTAATTATTTTTTCCTCATCAATAGGAGTAGATAAGTTCGCCTATCGTCCGGTACATAATTTTCCTCGGCCTTTTGAATAAGTGTCTAGGTTTAATATCCCCCCTTTGTTCCCAGTTTAGGGTCGAGTTTGCGGTTCCTTCTAAAATTATTTTCATTATCTTTCATTTTGCAGTAGTACCCCACTGCGTCTTGATGGCATATATCCCTTAGCCCACCCAGTAGCCCCACCCAGTAGCCCCTTGGCTTGTTGATGGGATATATTCCTTGCACCCCTCGAGCCCTCTGCGTCTTGATGGCATATATCCCTTAGCCCCCCCCCCCCCCCCCAAGTAGCCCCATGGCTTGTAAATGGGATATATTCCTTGCACCCCTCTAGCCCCCTGTCTTGAGGGCATATATGATGTAGCATATATCCCTTAGCCTCCACCAGTAGCCCCCCGAGCCTCCATTGATGGCATATATCCCTTATCCCCCCCCCCAGTAGCCCGCCGTAGCCCCCCCAGTATCCCCCTTTGGCTTGTTGATATGGATATATTCCTTGCACCCCAGTAGCCCCTTGGCCAGATATATTCTTTTTGCACCCCGTAGCCCCCGCGTCTTGATGGCATATATCCCTTAGCCGCCCCCTAGTAGCCCCCCCAGTAGCTCTCTGCGTCTTGATTCCATATATCCTTTAGATTCGCTAAAATGAGCAGCCATGAGAAAAAAAATGCCCAAAACTTAAAAACAGTTTTATCGTCAATATATTTGTTATTAAGTGAAATTGCATCCGTCAAGTAATTTTTACAGTTATCTGCCATCTTCTTAAAAATGCCAAACAATATGCTGACCAGCCAAAACAAAACACCATACATTGAGCCAAGATTTCATCATCAGTAAGGCCTAAAAAAATTTAAAAAAAATGGTCGATAAATGTGTCGACATCTCATAAAAACACTCACCTCCGTGTTACAAATGCTTTTCTGCGATATTTCAATATTTGTTTTAATTCAGATTAATTAAACTTCAAATCAGTTAATCTTCAAATAAAGTTTCAGAAAATGAAATAGCGTTTAACAGTCAGAAATTCGCGAGTGGCATTGAGTGATAAAATTTGGCGCGAAATATTTTCGAATCGTAAGAAGATGTGAACTTACCTGTCCAAGCACTGTGTTTATTTCATCATATAGTTTTTGTTGGATGTCCTGACTTTTTGCAATACTGTGAGCAAAAAGAGCGAGAGTTGTGCTGGTTGTATGCTGACCAGCCAAAACAAAAACCATACATTGAGCCAAGATTTCATCATCAGTAAGGCCTAAAAAAAAACCCCAAAAAACGGAATAAATTTTCTCGAAATTAATTATGATCAGGAGAAATATTTAATAGCAGCAGGACTCTTGAAATTTTCACGGGTTTCCTATTTGGATTTTCTGATGAATCATAAGTCAATGATTGAATAAGTGCCTTGCGAGTCTCCATGACTATAAAATACTCGTAGAAATTCTGCTTTTGCCTCGTTAAATAAGTTAGCTGAACAACTTTAAAAATATGACAGTAACAAGCATGATTATGCACATGGTTTATTATTAAAAAAGAGGGTACAAAATAAAAGATGAAAAATTGACAAGGATTTCTATTTTACAGAAGTAGAAGTTCATCCAGAATGTTATCGATTTATTTATTTCTTGTGTATGATTTATTTTTCTCACTAAAACCACATTGCGCCTCTGATATATTTTTTCATTTTGTCCTTTTCCCCAACGAAAACGGAATTGCCCGTTATTTATCTGAGGTAATGATCAGAAATATATTTTTTAATTTAATATTTTGTTTTTATTGTGACTATTTTATAAATGAAATATAAGCGTTATCTTTTGTTTAAAAATAGATTTCCATCAATTTTACAGATAGTACAAAGTTTTTATGTCTTTCATATTATGTATGCTTTATTTTTTCCTGTCTTTCCGAGTAATCAAAAGGGAATGGTTCATTATTTATCTGAGGCAATGGCAGAATGCGACAGGCTTGCGAAGTGGGTGGGGACGCGCAGAATGGTAAGGTTTTATAAGACTGAGACCTTGCGGCAACCTATCATTAACATTATGAATGTTCGAGGTTTACATTTTCAAACTATCCAGTGGAGTCGCCCCCTGTTAGACATGTGAAGAGTAAGCGTTCTCAAAGCAAATTTGTGGCTTTCACAACACAACGAAAGAAAATCACTTGTAACACGTCAGGAAAATAACTCACGAACGCCGAATTTTTTCCTCCCGAGTCGACAACACCAACTGCTTTTATCGGCAGAACCTATTTTTTCCATTCGTCGACAGCCGGGATAGGATGCTCCGTAATTTGCATATTAATATCCTCTTATAGCGGTACCTAGCAGTACCTCGTCCCATTAAGAATCACCGTCTGAAATGGCCACAGTGACCGGTGCACGCGTACCTGCAAGTAGGCCTTTCGAAGGTCAATCACAGAGACATTGGATCCCTTCGTTCGCCATTCTCTCAATTATTGTGCACACACATCAGCATGAGCTGTGTATGTGTCTACATGTTCGTTCAGTTCTCTATAATCTAGTACAGGGCGCACCTTTCCCTTGTTCTTTTGTACCACGGCCATCAACGGGATGAGGCCTCTTGGAGGACCAAGCACTTCCTCGGGATATGGAGTCAGCCATCCGTTATCCAGCCACACCTGCAATTCGCGCTGGTATTCTTCCTTGACGCGTTCGGGCACCGAATATTCTGACACTCGGTTCTGGAGCTTTTCTGGTGGGTTATTTTCCGACCATTTCCAAAATGCTGTCCATGTCTTCGTCCTTGGTCGAACTCTGCGCTAAAAGTCGGGCTCGTTGATCTTCAAAGTAGCACAGATGGGCGGATCAGAAAACTTGACTTCGCCTGCCTCTGTAATGCGTATGCCGCCCAGCTCCTTAATAATGTCCATCCCAAGGAGCAGATCGAAACCTAATAACGGGCTGTCCACGACCAACACACTGACTGTGACAGGGTCACCGTTGTTAATACTGAGTTTGATGTTTCCAACTCCCCGGCTTCTGAGAGCCTTTCCATCAGTCGTTAGTACGTCCATCTTTTGTCTGCTCCACTGTCGGCAAATCGAACCGTTGGTGAGTGACCGAGAGCAGCCCGAATCTATTAACGCGGTACGCGTTATTCCATTGATGCGTACCTTAATCACAGGGAGCGCCACTTTCATGCTCGGTGCGGGGAAGAGACCGGCGCTGAACGTCGCGTCCCCCATTCCATTTCCCGGGCACTTAGAGGCAATATGACCTACTTTCTGACATTGAAAGCATCGTAGATCGAGACGTGCCTTTCGCGCCGACCCGCTGCGCATTTCTTCGCGTTGATAGCGGCAGTCTCTGGCAAAATGATTCGGCCCAGAGCACCGACAGCAAGTGGCAACGCCATGGTGACGAATGGCTGGGGTCGGACCTTCTTTGACTTCATTTGGTTGAATAACTGCGGCCACTGGTTCATCAGCCTCTTTTTCGTCGATCATGACAGCACGGGCTCTGGTCAGCAATTGATTGAGCGTCAGGTCTTCCATTCTGGATGATGCGCGGAGTATCTGCTTAACATGACTGGGCAATCCAGAAACGAAGGCACATGTCATCCATTTTTCAGGAAGCGGTGCGATTGGAACGGCGAGCTTCTTTAATTCTGCCAAATATACGTCTACTGTCTCGCCAGGTCGCAGACGCCGCGCCTGGAATTGGTCGTAGGCCACGAACCGGTCAGTTCCAAACGCGGTTAGTAGAGCGTGCTTTATTTGCTCAATGTCACTTTTCTGTTCTTTACTCAGCTGCCTATACACAGCAAGGGCGCCGCCATTCAATCGCAGAGGAAGAATCCGATCAATCTTCGTGATCTCGCATAATTCGCAGACCAGTTCCACCTTTTCGATCCATTCAACCACAGACTGTCCACTAGTATCACCACTGAATTCGGGGATCAGTTTTATATCGAACGGTCTTTCCGCCATCTTGCGAGAGACAAAGTAAATGCCGAAATAGCTTGAAGAGTAAGCGTTCTCAAAGCAAATTTGTGACTTTCACAGCACAACGAAAGAAAATCACTTGTAACACGTCAGGAAAATAACTCACGAACGCCGTAGCCAAAACTGCCCGAATTTTTTCCTCCCGAGTCAACAACACCAACTGCTTTTATCGGCAGAACCTATTTTTTCCATTCGTCGACAGCCGGGATAGGATGCTCCGTAATTTGCATATTAATAGCGACTCCTGCGACGGACTTGTTTCTTTTTCGTCACAGAATACATGCGACGCGCTGTCGCTTGGGTTGACGAGGTAAGTCGCTATAAGAGTTTTGCTGACTACTTTTTGGCAATCCCTCTCCGGCAGATCGCACACAAAACACGAACTTTTTTCCGGGGTACGTGATTATCTCGTTCACTACAACATGACTGTGTTCTCCTGCTTGTGTGGCATGGTGCAGAGTCTTGTTACCAGACATGGGGTCTTCCAGCAGTCACCCTCTTGACCCGAAGTAGCACTACCTCCTCAAACTACTGGATGTAGGTGTCCGTGTTAAGTGAGGCCCTCACCTACAAATTTGGGAGTTCTTTTCTTATCAGAACAATCAGAGTTTTCCTTCATAATCCCCATTAGACTTATCCAACTCTTTCCAAATCCTCTGCACTGTCCTCAGATTGACACCTACACACTCTGAAATGTTCGTATTTGAGCCTCCGGTGTGAATGCCAAGAAGTACAGTATGCCATTTCCAAATTTCTGGCAGAGTGAATTGCACCATGGTGCTCTTTTTCTCACAGACGCTGTCCAACTGACCTTAATATACTGTGCAGTCAAGAATATAAAAAACAAACAACGCGCATGCGCGAAATTAAAATATAAAATGGCGACAATTTATCCATATATATATATATATATATATATATATATGAAAACAAAATTCTGAATTCAAACAGATGCATTATTATTGTTTGAATAATAGTTGGGTTCTTATGTCCATCGTCTTTTGTGTTAAATTGTTATAAGTTATAATGTTAATTATGTTTAAATGAAAATGTCCATGAAGATGGTCTTAAATAGACCGAAACGTCTGACGTCGACTTTATTTTAACATTAATAATGCATATTCAGAATTTTGTTTTTTCTGTATTTTTCTTTCATACTGTCGGATTTATATCCATATATTTGCATACATATATATATATATATATAAAGAGGCTGGAGTTGATACATGACAGATTTCTCGCTGACATATTTTTCGCAATCATCAATGATGGACTGTCCATGTTCCGGTTTATCATGAGATGAAAAAATAACTCACCCACCTCCAACCTTTGAGCTTACTTTAGAATTTAGAGTAGATCTGACATTTAATTGGTTAATCAGGACATACCCACAAGGTTATTTTAAATTCTAACCTTATGTTCCCCACCTCTTTAACTTTCTGAAAAGAGGTAACATTTTGTTTTTAAATTTTCTTAAAAATCATTTAATCACCAACTATTTACCATTGCCTGAAAGAGTACAATCATATTATTGAAACATAAAAGCTTTTGTGTAACGATTTCAACATGTTTTTATTATAATCTCTTATAATACAAATAATATATATATATATATATATATATAGATATATATATGTGTGTGTGTGTGTGTGTGTGTGTGTGTGTGTATTGTCGTGAAATAATGTAATGTTAGGAAAGGTATTCACACGTTTTGTTGAGCATCAGTAAATAGGATTGATATTGGATTGATGAGAATTCATCGAGAGAAGATATGACCGGATATGACGTGTAAATGAATGTCTGATGAAACCTGAGACACGTACACAGGCACATATTCACCTACAAATCTTTTTCCCCACCTAATGCTGAATGATCAACTAGGGCAGACATTAATTCAAAAACAAACCAGGCGAGGTCAACTGTGTAAGTAAAGCGTGGCGTGACAATAATAGTAGTAATCGCGTGGAAATGACAATGAAGAAATGAGAAGATTATCAAAGTGAAATATTTTTCCAACCAAAGAGCCCATCTTTAAATAGTAACATATTAAAACGTCCGACTTTTATCAACTGTAAAGATTTCCTTTCCTTTCTTTATATATATATATATATAAGTGTGTGTTTGTTTGTGTGTGTGTGTGTGTGTGTGTTTCATTAAATAATATAGACAAGTTTTGTCTATTTTAAGTAAGATGCCTTCATGTTGTCTGAAAAGCTTAATAACATTATCATTGAAAGACCAAAGGAAATCACCATATTGATACATGTTTAAATACAATCTAAGCTTTCGGCTTACATAAGCCATTATCAAAGATGACCATTACTTTTCAATATATCAACCAATACACGGACGAAACAATAATAAAAAAAATCAAATATATATGATAAGATAAAGAACAAATAGGAAACGTTTATTAATCTAATATGTTTCACTTTTATTAAAACTTCTCACTTTTATTAAAGCTTCTTTTGAGTTCAAGCGAAAACTGTTTTTAGATTGATAAAAATTTCGTATTTGTTCTTTATGTTATCTATGACACGAAAAATTTTGCTTGAAAGCAAGAGATTTGGCCTCGCCTGGCCGATTGTTCTCCGTGGCTAGTTCGGTAAGACGTGTCGGGCTAAACGGTAGCTTCTTCTTCCCTGAGGGATGCAGATTCGATTCCTGTTAGAGTGCGCAAATTTTTATTTAACAACATTCAGACCAGTAGACTAAAATAAGTAAATACAATGTTTACTAAATAAACGGAGTTACTACTCAAATGCGAATATTCACCAAAAAGAACATTTATAGTGATAATACACACACACACACACACACACACACACACACACACACACACACACACACACATATATATATATATATATATATATATAGTTTGGTTTGGTTTGTTTTGTGGTATATCAACCTCAGTGGGTCATTTAATTCCGACAACTTTTTTTCCTGGTAATATTTTTGTTTTGTCAAAAATCTATTTCTGTTAATATTTTTTTCCTCAAAAATGTATAGCTGGTAATATTGTTTTTTCAAAAACGTATTGGTGATAATATTTTTTTTCTTCAAAAAAATTTATTTCTCTTAATAATTTTTTACAAACTATTTCTGGTATTAAAACCTATTTTTACACTTTTATAAAGCTTTTTACCTCAGTTTCGGGGTTAACTATTTGCCCATAGCTGGGACCCTAACAGGTGCTACCACCCCAGGTCAGGTTGGACCTGGGAACACCAACAATTAAGAGGTGGTTCCATGCTCCTCAAAGCCTCCTGATCAGAGGCCTTTCTGTTGGACAGTTTATTGTCTTACCCTGGACACGGATGTAGTTTATCGTCATACCCAGGACGATTATATATATATATATATATATATATATATATATATATATATATATATATAATTGTAAAAGTGGACACTGTGGTTAAAACTCAATCCTGAGAGTCTGTTGCACGTTTGAATGCAATCTTCAGGCCTTACCCTAACATGCAGAAAACCGACTGTCGCGGCTTGGTGTTGATCTCACCCTCTACTTTTTTATATTTGCTTACGCACTGTTTTTGATATTGAACACTTCTACTCATAAATGTACCATAAGTTAAAGTGTATTTTTATCATATATATATATATATATATATATATATATACACACACACACACATATATATATATATATATATATATATATATATATAATATATATATATATATATATGATATTAATCAGGAAAAAACTTAAATAACTTAATAAATGCATAATGAATAATAAATTTATTTCGACCAATATAAGCATATTCATCTCATCAGACCGGACGACATTTTATGAAATGGAATCAAGCTACACAAAAATATCTTTGTATATCTGTCTGTCTATTCCATTTCATAAAATTATTATATAATATATAATTATTATTATTTCCTTTGATGTACTTTCGATACTGATTTCGTTCCGGGTCCCAACTAGAGATCTAAGATCAGAAATGCAACCGTGACATTTTCTACTAAACATTTTTGTAAAAAAAATAAAAACCTAAAATGAGGTACATTTTACCTAAGATAAAACCTTTCGTAAGCTGTGAGCTTTACTTTTGAGAAAAATATTTTGTATTTCTTTAAGGCACAGGTTATCAGAGATCTCTTCAATAAGAACAATTTTCCAATCAAATCGAAGGCTTAAACCAGAACTGGAATTATTGATCTCTTTATGGGCCATAGTTTTGAGATTTTCACTTCATGTCACAATGAAAACTATGTTCTGTTTTTGTGGTCAAGGCGATTAGCTTTGATTGTTCTGTGTGTGTGTGTGTGTGTGTGTATGTTACACAGTTCCATAAAATTGTTACAGGTCCTATATCTGCCATGCCGAGTTTTATATTCAGTGAATGATAATAGCGTGCAATCTTATGGAAGTGCGTCAGTTGTTTCTGGGTATTAATCACTAAATCTGCATTTCGAGTTAACACAATTTTTCAGTCTGTTTGCTTGGTAATTTCTAGCTATCAAGCCTTCGCCCTGTGCAGAAAGAATAAAACCTTCGGTTTCAGTTGCTAATCCTGCGTTACAAAATCACCGATTGGTATGGACCTTGTTTACGTCAGTTTGTTTGGCATAGGCAGCGTATTGACCAGGAAGACGTTTACGTTGCCCTTGTTTCTGTATTTGCATAATAATAATAATAATAATAATCAAGCATACACACTAAAAAATTGTATTAGCCCAAAATGCAGATTCCGTGATAAATATCCAGAAACAATTGATCATCTTGTATTAGATTGCGCGGTATTAGCATCCACTTAATATAAAATACGGCATGACAGGGTTGGCCAATATCTGCACTGGAAAATCTGCAACTTCTACGGAAAGTAAACTGAAAGAAATTGACATGAACACCACCCAGACGTAGATAGGACCTGTAACAATTTTATGGGACTACACAATCCACAGAGACAGAACAATCAAAGCTAATCGCCCTGACATTTGATATTGGAGACCGCAAAAAAAAAAAAAAAAAATAAAGCCTCCTTATTGATATGGCAGTCCTTATAGACTGCAATGTATCTTTGAAGATATTCAAAAAGCTATCAAAATACAAGGACCTTGAAATCGAAATCTCAAAAATGTGGCACATGTGAACATCAACAATCCCTGTTGTAGTTGGATTGCTCGGATTGGCTTGAAAAGATTCCAGTAGACTAATTGAAGGAATTCCTGGAAGCCCATGCCTTAAAAAAATACCGAAAATTGTTTACACGAGTACAGCCCACACCTTAGGAAGGGTTTTATCTGTGAAAAATATGTGTTTTTATGTCATGATGACAGTTCTGACCTTAGGTTTCTGGGTGGGATCCTGAAAGAAATGAGTACACACTAGAAATCAAAGAAAATAAAATAACAATAATAATAATAATAATAATAGAAAGTGGGGAAAGGAACAGTAGTAGTAGTAGTAGTAGAAGAAGAAGAAGAAGAAGAAGAAGAAGAAGAAAGTAGGGAAAGGAATAATAATAATAATAATAATAATAATAATAATAATAATAATGCTATACACAGAGACTTTTGTCAACGGTGAGAAACATGACTCTATCTCCGTTGCGTGACAAGCCATAATCTCTTTATTTTAGTCTTTTGTTTGCTCGACTAATCTTTTTTTTTTATCGGAGAACAAAAAGACTTTTATTTTGATGTAACCTGGCAGATCGACATGCAATCGTGATCATAGCGTCATTGTCGACTGCGCGCTTTTCTTCAATGCTTCATAGTATGTGCTTCACCAGGGCTTTTTTAAAGTATATCACCCCAAGCAAGGTGGGAGTGCCACTAGCATGCAACGGATTACAGAGAGTGAGAGCAAGGCTAAAGAGGGTGGGGGTTAAGGAAGGGATATAGAGAAGGACAGAGATCAGGATCAAGACATCAGAAGATGTCGATTGACATTACATTTTAACATTTGTAGATTATTGTTATCAGGGAAGTAAGTACGAGGAAGGGAGTTTTACTGTCGGGAAGTGCTACAGAAGAAATGTTTTTGAATTCATAGTTTTTACTTCTCTTGGACTGGTTGCCATCCAGGGCTAGGGAATCCTGTCTGTTTAATGACCACATAAAATAATCTTCTTACCTCTTTTTATTTTCCATTCGCTCAAATTTTCTAACTTCATTTTTTTGTCGCGCTTCCTGTCCGTTTGTTCGTTTCCTTTCACCTGCGCTTCTACCATTATTTGAAACGCATTTGTTCGTTCCTAGAATCGGAAAGAAGATGATCTGAACAGGATTTTCAGTTTGGAAATGTTAAGGCCGTTACCATTTTGTCTATTTATCCTCATTCTTATAATTTTTTAATGAAAAGAGTAATTTATTTACTTAGCATTGACGAGGGCACGGAGTCTCTTAGAATCGTCGACTGTAGATGAAGGATGTAATCTATTAGGATTAGATAGATTTGAAAATTCGGTGGCATTTATTTTAGACGAATTGAATAAAGAAATGCTATTTTTCATAATAGATGAAACAGATGATGTAGGGTCCTTATTGTAAAGAATGCCAAGCACAAGTGTTGCGAAAGAGAAAAGATGATCCCAGTCAAGCGAGCTGTTCAAGTTAAGTGCCTGGTCTATGGCAGTAGCCAAAGCATAGGCTGCCGGGATTCTGACAGATTTAGGGATTTTTAAAGGCACCTTTCGGAATTGCCTAAGGAGTGTGGTTGCCCTCAAAACTTCACTGGGATCTCTTTGGGTCGGTTCATTATGTTGATGGATCACACTATCTTGTCGAGCCGAGAGAGACAGACAATGTGAACAACTCCAAACAACCAGAGACGCTGAAGCATTTCTAGTCAATCCTACGCAAGATAAATTATAAATATCATGTTCCGTATTCTTTCTAGAGAATTCCAGAAATTGTAACGGCCAACGCTTCCTTACAATATCAATCTGTTACTCCATGGCGGCATTTTATATTTCAACACTACGAGTTGCAGCGTTTGAACTCACAACTAACTTTTTAGCATTTACTAACATTTTTACCGTTTCGGTCGCGTTCACTAAAATGCCAAGGCGTTTTTTTTTGCTGTTCTAAAACCATGTCATTTGAGAACATACGCAGTCATGACTCTCCACAGGTTCATTTTCTTTATTATCAGCAAATTGAAACTTTCTTGGGAAATACAATGAGATGATTTCCTGTTCCCTTCTCAATTGTTTTTATTTATTTATTTTTTTTTTCTTCTTTAATTTTTTGATTCACCCCAAGCAAGGCGATAATGCCACTAAGACGCAGTGAGCTAGCCGGAGTGAAAAAGAATTAGAACAGATCCAGTAAAAAACTGATTACAATGGATAAACTTCTACTCCTGTTCAAAAGACCGAGGAGGAGTGTGAACCGGGCGATAGACTATCTACGCTTATTGATTATACATTCAGTCTTATTTTTGGAGTGGTTGCTAATCAAGGTTATAGTATACCTATATATCGTGTTATTTAACCCATAGCTATGGGGATAAGAGATTGACTAGAAGTGGACGCAACAGCTGCGGTTGGAATTTGAACTCAGCCTACTGATTTCGTTTTTTATGTCAATAATTAATAATCAATACCCGCAAATCCTTTTTCTGTTACCGAATGTTATAATCACCTGAAGTTATACCGGCAGATTAATCGACCAATTTTGGGGGACAAAGACAATAGAGATTGGAAAACCCAGCCCGAAAAATCAATGTCTTTCTATTTTACCGCCTCGCGTTACCTTGCACTCCATCTTCTACCGTCTTCTATTGCCGTGTCCCTTCAGGACGTTGGCGATTATGGCTCTCCACAATTGCCGGTTCTTTGTAGCTCTTAATAATTATTTTCTTTCTATTATCTTTCCTAGACCCTGTTCTGCCATCCATTCGCTATTTTTTATTTATTTATTAGCGATCGTCACAGCAACACCTACGTTCGTGGATTACTTACCAGGTGTTTCGTGCTCAGTAAAGATATTATTCAAAATGTCAAAAAGTCCTGCATTTATATATTTTTGTATGTAGTGATCATGTTTTTTTGTACACGTACAGAAAGTACAAAATATTATTTTTATATGAAATTTTAATATAACCACTTAAAAATCCGTGTAAGCATTATACGACTAGCGTCATTACCGGTATCTGTATGCACATAAAATTTATTAAATCTTATATAAAACTACTTTTAGGGTATACTTTATTAATATAAAACTACATCCAGGGTAGATGTATAAGCTGTGAAATATAAATGGATATCATGTTATTCTTGGATTCAATTCCCAAGCTGTCTTATTTTATAGATGTCATATGCAATTATTTACATTATTTGGACTATTGTCCTCATATTTGTCGCCATATTTATTACAATGTTTCGGCTGTTGTACGCTACGGCCTTCTTCAGGTGGTTGGAATGTCGAACTGAACCCTTTATTTCGCTCACTGGGGTAAACTGTTCTAGTTCCACGTGCCATGTTTAATAGATATCAGTTATCAGTTATCAGTTATCTCCTGTTAATTTCCCTCTGAAAGTTCTCCACTGCCTTAACCGAGTATTGAACTCACACTCTTTTGGTCCTGTCACTAGATCTAACCAACGCCTTTATCCACTGTGCCATGTGTCTTTGAAATATAGACAGATAATGTTGTGGACTCTTCCACAACAAGCTAGTTAACCCCTGCTAGGAAATGTACTATTCCTGTTATAATTTTCACCATCACAATCTTACAAAATATATAACAAGCATTCATTGGTCAATCACCTTCAATCTAGCTTGCTGATTGGTCAGTTCCCACCAATTAAACCGCCTGAATGCGATAAATCTGTTTTACCACGGTTTCCATCTGAGCCAGTCACGTGATTCACGATGATATATAAACAGAACACATGGAAACTCCCTCGAGTTTCTTTTCATTCATCTCTCTCTTGCCAAGATGTAATCTTCAAGAACTCCCGTCTTAGCCTTTGCGGTCAGACGTTAAAGACCATTATCAACATTCACGCAAGTACGAACTCTGAAATCTCTTCTTAACTTTTACCAACTTGTACAATACACATTTCCAAACATGCTAAAGAAACTTTCACTTTATGAGCTCGAATACAAATATTTACCTAATCTAAGAGACAGATCTCTGTCTAACTTTTCAGTTCACATGCATGTATATCAAATATTAATAAATTCAATTATTATGTTTTGAAACAAGATGTTTTTGAATAGTTATTCTATGTCTTGTATTAATTGTTGCAGATGGAAGATTATTGAATACACAATTTTAAACCTTCTGATAATTCAAACCTGATAATTCAAACTTTCTGATAATTTAAACCTTCTATTCCTCTCCAACACACATCACACACACCCGCAACAATGTCATATGCAAATTAAATATATTCCAATTCGCAAATCCGAAAAAATCTGAAAACCGAAGCAATTCTGGTCCCAAGAATTTCGGATAAAGAATTCTCAATCTGTATTTAATAAGAATCACTTGAAACAGAACTTGTTTAATTATATAAGCACAGTTCATTTTCAGGACAAAGATATTTTAGAAAGTTCACGTAGTAAGTCCAATCATTTCTCTGAACATTACAAAACTTCATGAAAATAAAGTTTCACTAACGAATCTCCTCATATATATTATCCGAGGAAAATCTTAAACCGTTTTTAATCAGAATGAGACAAGTGAAATGTCTGCGACACATAATAAGGAAAGAGATTTTAAAACAAATTTGAAATTTAAAAAATATCATGAATTCAAACGACTAAGAGTGAAAGATTGAGGAAGCTGCTTAGTTTTAACGAAAATGGAAACAAAAGGGTTAATTATAATGAGAAAGAGACATTTGACATTTCTAGGATAAAGAGGAAAGAGGGCTTGGAGAATTTGACACTCACAGGATATATTGAAGGGGTAGAGACAAACGCGCAATATTAGTTTGGTGGCAAGGTCTCATCATTTTACAATTGAAATAGCTTGATTTAACCGTAAGTTCTATGCTAACAGTGTCTTCTCCTATACTTATCACTTGTGTAACTCTTTTTTAGCGTCGTTTTCCAGTCAACTTTGCTCCTTCAAAAATTTAAATGCAATTTCAATCATGTTCTGTCTTCTTAAATCGTCTTCTTTTATCATTCTCTCTCCTTAATAATGTCTTTTCTTTTTCTCTCATTTTCACAATCAGTAACCCCCTTGCATCTTAGTGGCTTTATAGCCATGTTTGGGGTGAAATGATTAAAAGTAAATAAAATAAATAAACTACAGAGTATAAGCTGGGGGGTTAGTGAAGGAAGAAAAAATGCTAAAACCGACAAAGGCTAGAATTTTCGTGGAGAGCCATGATCGTTCACGGCCTGAAAGGACGCGGCACATCGAAGAAGAATAAGCAACCCATTTTATCTGTGCGCTGATTTCAATTTTTCGACTTTTCTGATACAAATAAAATCTCATCCCTTCGTTAGTTCCTTTATTCGCACGACCGTTACGCCCTGCCAATACCTCATAAATAAAGAACTATGCTGTCTTGACTGCATGAGAAGACAAAAGACATATCAAAGATGCTAATTGTTTGTAATGAGAAAAAGAAAGAAAGAAGGGAAGATAGAAATATTTAACATCTGCTTCAGTGAAATGGAAAAAATTGTCGATCTTTTCATTTGTACCCCCTTACTTCTTAAAATAACAACAAATATTCATATTCATGGTAGTTATTGCTTAAAGTTGTTAAGCTGGAATATTTAATGATGTGACAGGGGTATTTCTGCGGATATTTTATTGTCGTAGAACTCGCTAATGAGCTTAATCAATCATTAACTGAAGAATTAAGGTTTACCAGAAAATTAAAATAAGGAAACCGTGAATTATTTACGGGTTAAAACTAGTGAATTATAAATACGGTATGAATTATGCCCGATTGAAATGTGTTGTGTGTCGACAAGATAATAGGACGTTACTTACACTTGAGTCTTTCATTTTCTTTTGTTCTGCTAAACAATCTTTCCAGAATTGCAGGAAGTATGCCATATTGCCCAACAACACAGTAGGTTTCAAAAACCTGATGATTTTGGATAGGACAGGAAACATTGCTACAAAGAAGAACAGTAATTGTATGATATGATGAAACTATTTTTCCCAAAAAGCAGATGTTGTAGTGTCATAACTCATTTGGTAAAGTTGTTGAATCATTATTCTGATATCATATGATTATGCTTTGAAGAGGGTCGTTATTTTAAAAACATAGCAAACTTTGTTTATACAACTTAAATACGGACTATTGTTCTCATTTTTGTTGTTTTTTATCACAACGTTTCGGCAGTTGTGCCATCCCGCCTTCGTCAGGTGTATATAACATACAGGGAATTCCGAACTGAACCATTTATTTTTATGTAGATTGTTCTTATTCCACTATTCTTGTTTTGTTCTAAATTCCAACGTATATCATCTGAATAAGGTCAGGGCGTACAACGGCCGAAACGTCGTAAAAATGGTAATAAAGATGAGAACAACAGGCCGAACGGTATACATAGTGTAAATATCTCAGTTCTTAGTTTTAGTAATGTTCAGAAAATGATCGTCTGCTTTCTGCTGAGTCTGATTAATTTGGTTATATAGTAATTGTGAGTTCAATACCTGGGCCGGGTATTAGTAGAATCAGGGATCACAATAACTGATCAGCCCTAAAAATAAAAACTAGACGAGGTATCCCTAGATATTTAAAACCAGAATTTATGGATTTTAGGAATTTATTGGAGATAATAATGATTTACTGATATGTTTTACTAGTTAACCCATAGCTGGGGGAGAAGAAGTGGGTTCATATTTTACCCAGGATTATTTGCGCGTAAGTTTATATAACGATTCCAATTAGAATTGGAACTCAGCTCTCTGGTTTCCAATTGATCCGTTATCCATTACACCACCCGCACATCCAAGTTTAAAGTGCCTGGTATTCTTGAGCTGTCCCCCATCTTGTTACTGACCAGAATCGACGGCCAACTACTCCAGAAGAAATACTCTGAATTCTAAACTATTGAAAAAATGACGAGAAATCTATCTTTTGTCATTTATGATTGGAGTATAAGGAATGGTTACCATTGGGCTATACACAGATATGACAGAATTGAATAGACACCAAGATAAATTTTATTTCTGATATTTTTAATAACCAAGATAAATTAACTTAGATTATTTGATTAAAATTGCAGATAACAATACTGGAATATGCCACGAACCAAAGGAGAATCAGACCTATCCGAACATGAAGGTGGTCTTCGTCAAAGAAAAATATCTGAAAATCTTTCAATATCCCTTTCTACTGTTAATAGAGTGATCGTACAATTCACCAGAGAGGGCAAGAAGTGCACAAAGCCTCATCCAGGCCGCCCTGGGCCCTCTGAAAGAACCATGCGTCTTGTCGAAAGAAATGTTGAACAGGATCCATGTTGCAAGGCCTCTGACATAGCAACACAAGTTGATGTCAGTCCCAGAACAGCTGTCAGGTATCTTCACAAGCTGGGTTACTATGGCAGAGCTGCGAGAAGGAAACCACTTCTCCGTCCAGCCAATATCAAACGCAGAAAGGAATGGGCTCATGAGATGGTGGAGAGACCTGTGACCTTTTGGACCACTGTCATTTTCTCTGATGAGTCAAGATTCGCATTATTTTCCGACAATGGAAGAGTATGGGTATGGAGAAACTGTAGTTTGATTTAAAAAGACTGCAGTCAACGGTGAAACATGGGGGCCTTTCAGTAATGGTATGGGGTGCAATTTGTAGTGATGGTCGTTCAGTGGAGTGTGAAGGAAACATTAATTCAACCAAATATGTTTCTATATTAAAGAAAGGGCTACTTCCAATATTCTCAAGTAGTAGAATGAGCAAAGTTGACTCCCTATTTATGGAAGATAGAGCTCCATGTCACACTGCTCAAGCAACGCAACATTGGTTGAGACAAAATGGGATCAATAAACTTCCATGGCCAGGTCAGTCCCCAGATATTAACCCTATTGAACACCTTTGGGGCATATTAGATCGAAAACTCCGCAAAAAGAACAGGAAGCCATCTTCTAAGTCCAAACTTTTAGGATTATTGCGTCAAACATGGCAAGAATTCCCTCAAGATGATATTCGTGAACTCATCGTTAGCATGCCTAGAAGGGTCCTTGCATTAAAAAAAGCAAAAGGGATGTCAACCAAGTATTAGTTATTAAATTTATGACCATTTATAATTACTTCATTTATATAAATTACTTTTTTAATAAAATAAACCGTTTCTGTGAGCGTCTATTCAATTCTGTCATGTCTGTGTAAATAGTAACGAAGTCCTCACAGAACTTCACGATAATACCAGCGTTGAAGATAAAGGAAGAAAAAAAGTTAATAGATAAATCTATTCTAAAAATGTGGGTACTTGAATTTTTTGATGAAATCCTTCGATATATTTAAATTAAATGTAATCGCAGAGTTCCTAATGGTAAAAATGATCTCAGATTGGTTTTGGAAATGTGGTATTGCACTCAATGTGGATGTTAGGATTTCATATTTTGGATAAATAACCACAAAATATTCCTTTCTAAATCGTTACCATTTTTTGAGGAAATGAATTTAAAGATTGATTTTAGGTTCAAAATTGTCGCATTGGAATTTAATTCCGGTGTACAATGAAAGCCTTATAAAAATTTATAATTTACTGAAGATTTTCAAATTGTATATGGACAAGATGCATGGCAAAGGTACATTATCGTTAAATCATTGTACTATCAAATAAGACCTTGATTTTCTTCAAAGGGAAGTTATACTGAACAATTTAGCTACATTACGATGTAATATGTTATACAGTGCAGTAGTTTTAGCGCGAATTTTAATAAACAAAGCAAATTTAAAATGTTTTGTCTTATGATTTGTGCCCAGCAATATTATGATGTTATATACACTTTTATCAATTTTTTGGTTTTTATTAATTATGATCTAACAAAAGATCTAAAAAATCTTATTCATTGAGTAGACTTTTTTTTTAATCTTTTACATTTTTTATACAGTTTTTACTTATCGAATACAGTAAAAAAATTGCATATTTTACTTGTGATGATTCATAAATAGAATTCCGTTTTGAATATATTTTCCATTAATTACCGTAATTTCTCGAAAATAATACGTATCTATAAATAATACGCACCTCAACAAATGATCCAAAAATTAAGAAATATATCTATCCCTATGTATAATACGCATCTATTTGATTTATAGCCAATCGCCTGTCAGCCATCAACATGTGTTGGCAGTTACAGCACGTTCATACCTTGGGCCATCGTCAAGACATTTCCTCCTACTCCTAAATCCAACCGCCCATTTTTCACACTGTTGATAAATCTAGAGCGACATCCCATAATGTAGCCTTTTTCTGCAGGTATTTGATAACATTATGATGACAAATGTTGTCCATTTTCAAGAGAAGTCGCTACTAGCAGATAACAGTTTACTCAGAAAGAAATAACGCAGTAATTAATAAGACGAGTTGAAATGAATGCATGCAAGATTTCACAGCCACTAACACAACTCCTTCATAGTCAGCTTATAATCTTTTCAGCCCACCTTCATCGATCAAGGGAAAGATCAGCAGTAAGGCTCTAATCAACTTAGGGTTTAAATGTGCTACTATAAACAGTGTTATCATCTTCATAGATGATTACTGATGATCAGAAAATGTTCATCGTAATTATAGTTAATCATAATGACTGAAAAGTGTTTAATCTGTCAAGTTTTATGCAACAGCTAAAGATATCACAAACGTTTTCGGGCCAACATTTAAGCTTTGCAAATTTTTCAAAACGCAAGCCTGTTTTGCTATTTGCATTAATAATAATTTGTTGACTGAAAAAAAGTATTCTATGGATGGCGAGAAGGGATAACTTACCGAGGTAGCCTTGAAAATCGAGAAAACTGAATGATTCGAATATTTGACGGGCGTTTGTTGTGAAAGAACAATCGGGATCTTTTTGCGCGTTCACATCGAGGCCAAATCCTGTTGAAGCGATCGCGTCGATGCTGAAGCTGGCAAAGATACTAGTTGAAAAGAAATTGAGAATAAAAAGCAATCAAAACAGAAAAGTGCGAAAAAACAAACAAACAAATAACCCCCAAAAAACAAAAACAACGTTCATATTTCCTTTTGAATGATAAAAATAATTTTTGATTTTAGTATGAAGATATGTGGCATTTATACATGTTAATATGTGAGAAACTGACGCTTGGGTAGATATATGAGGCCAATCATGATAGCCAGCCCGGTTAGAATATATTATTATTATTATTGTTGTTATTGACGTTTTATTTCCTTTGGTTTCTGGTTATCTGTATTATTTATATTATTCGGACTGTTATCCTAATCTTCAATGCCATATTCACAACGCTTCGGCCGTTATACGCTCCGGCCTTCTTCAGGTGAATGGAATTTCGAACCGTTCCCTTTATTTCGTCCATCGGGATAGATTGTTCTAGTTCCTCGTGCCATGCCTCTTCCGGATGCTTGAGTTATTTCCCTTTAACTCAACTCTCCAAGTTTTTGCTTCACCACTACTCTGGCCTGGTGTCGAACTCACAACTCTTTGGGTCTAGTCAGTGGATCTAGCCAACGTCTTCTTTCTGAGTGTTGTTGTTCTTCTTCTCAAGATATCCCGTGTATATACATAAATGGTTCATTATATTTAACTCTGTTATTTCTGACTAATGCAAAAAGAAAAAAAAAACTTACTTTTTAATGTTGTACGCTTGTCCTGTACCAGCGATTTTTTCAATATTTTTGACAAAAGATTTCATGGCTTTCTCCATCAACGGAGCCATCTAAAATTGAAGAAATATTTTATTTAGAGGAAGAATCAAATTTTATAGAGAATTCTTTCATTAAAGAAGCGTAATATTTATATATTTATAGTGGCATTACTAATAGGAATATACATCCGAAAATAATACATGATTTTTATAATGTCAGCCCCCTATATCTGAACCAGATATTGAGGCTATGTCA